CATCATGCGGATTAGATTGTTGCAGTGCTCAGAAGTAGAAATTTTCTTGTGTATTGAATTTTTTTTAAGTAACTATTTGTTCGTTCTTTGGCGTAACTTATTTCTTTTATTCCACTTCATTTAAAAATCGTAAATCCACACTTTGTCTTTGACTTTATTTCGACTTTATTTCTGACTCATTTAACTGTGATGTGTTATATAAAAAATATGCTTTTTAAATATGTACAAATTGTTGGCGAATTTTAGGATTTATGGTTTATGGGTTAGGTTTTGTTTTGTATGCGACGAATCCGGGTTTAATCAGCCATCGTTGAGCCATTCATTGTTATCTCTTGATAATATAATGTTAAATGTGGAATGGCTAAGGCGAGAAAATTTCGCGTTCTTTGAGAACTGGATTTGGTTCAAGCGAAGATTGACTGAATGAATGAATGAATGAATGAATGAATGAATGAATGAATGAATGAATGAATGAATGTGAATTATCATCATCGTTACACATCGAATGGATTTTTTTGATGCTTTAATAAGTTCCTTTTTTTGTGGACCTAATTGTATTTTCTCATTTAGTTTCAGATGTACTTATCTTGTTGTACTTAAGATTCTTTTGTGCACTTCTCTTTTAGATGTTTTTTATTTTTATTGAAAATTACAGGAAAAAAAGATTTGATTTGGAAAATTTTATTCCCTTCAATTTTTCCACATTTCATCAGAAAATTTTCTTAATTTCGCAGTTGGTTGGTACGAAAAAATATTTCAGATTTTTATTTATTCATTGGTTCCTATGATTGTTATTTTCATTATCGATATTTATCGTATCGTTTTTTGAGCAATTTTCTTTTGTATTAGTTCATTTATATCGAATTAATCATACAATGAATTATGCCAGCAGTTTAGTTTGGCTAAGGCATTTGCTCTTGTTATCATTTACAATCTATTGGAAAACCTAAGAGAATTGATAAGCAAGTGATAAATTGGTAACGAATAGATTTTGAAATTATTACATTAGTTTCGTTTTCGAATCATTAACCATTATATGAATTCGCTAATGTAATTTATATGCTAATGAAATATGATGGATTAAGATTTTAGAGGTTTCATCTGTTCACTTGTTTAATTTCAGGAGTGCGAATTGTCAAGAATATTTTCATTATCTTTGTTATCAAAGCGATTCAAATTTGCTGAGATTTTTTGAATCATAAGAATCTGAGCAAAAAGCATTTTTTTAAATGATTTTTTTTGTTAATTTATTTATATAAATAAGGCTAATGGCTTACCGCAAATTTAAATCGTTTTCATAAAATTCTTTGGCCAGACAGACACTCTTCATTTTCGATGGTCGATGGCACACAATAACGATGTATTGTTTTGATAATATTTAACAGATTGGTGGTAATCGGTAATTGTGAAATGTTTGATGATCAACGAGCAGTCATCACGAAGGTGGAAAATTAATCCGGATTTAACTGGTATTGGTAGTAATATTGATGATAATAATTCGATTTAAGGGAATAAATTAATGGTCGGTGAACGCCTGAAATTCATGTCTAATTTACACCGTCAATTTTTTGTTAAGTATAGTAAAGTAATATGATTGCTTTATTATTCTTAAACTTTCCCGTAAGTGTTCCCCGCCTTCTGCATTATAATTTCTCGTTTGTTTACTGACAATTAGTCTGCGATTACGCAAAGGAATCTTTCACTTGAGGCAGTTGAGCAGAATGGATAATTACTTAGATTATCATACTTAGATTGAAAGGTAAAACTACTGTTACATCGATATGAGTAAATCTGCCATTAAAAAATCCAGCTCTATAATTTATCTCCAGTTGATACGCACTGACAGATTTGAACAAATTTGAACGTACTAAAAGCCTGCTGGGCTGACCTAACCATAACCACTTATAGTTACTTAAGGGAAGAAGTAAAGGCACCACTTGGACGTCATTTTCGATGAAGTATTGATGAAATATTCCAAATGAAGTGCTAATCCTCCCTTAGAAATCTGCCAATTTTATAAAAGAATTTGTAACTTGAAAGAAATCTGAGTTAAGTTATAAATTACGAAATTAAGTCTCAATTCATGTTGTATTCAGCGTTAATAATAAAAAGTAAAGTAGATGTAAAAAGTAGTAATATTGTGCGTGTTTCGAGTAATTGAGACCGCTGGTGCAGCTGTTGAAATATAATGAATTTATTTGACGCACTAATAAAATGCTCAAACGAAGAAGGAAGAACTTCCAATTTCAAAATATTACTTATCATTATTTTAAAATTTTTTTTTGTGTTTATTGCCGTTTTTTCATTGTGGTATCTCGAAATGTACCATTAAGTTCTTGATGTTTACTAATACGACGATTCATTTGGCGTAAACTTTTTTCGTACGTGTTTAGTGAAATATATTATCAAATATTTTAAATATAAAATTTGGAATTCTTTTAATTTTTCATTTAGAATCAATTATGTTTCGATGTTACTTTGCTTGAACATTCTATTACTTCATTCCATGCTTCCGTTCTCGAACAGTTCTAATGCCCCATATGCTTCCTATATGCTTCCTCTGTGACCCCTGACTTAATTCCGGAGCGTTTTTCTTTCTTGGGAAATATTACCTATTTTTTCTCAGTTTCATTATAATTGTAAAATTGAATCACTGAATGAAGTACTGAGGACTAAAGATCTAAATTATTAATGCATTTGGTTATCATTGGCCAGTTAGAGATAATTGCTTCATATTGCTATGTTCTCTGTTTTCTAACTTAACATCGAGTAACCTAGGATTCACTTTGTATTATATTTGGAATTATATATATATATATATATATGACAAGATTGAGTTTGTTGTGGCATGTCCAAATAGTTGTTTAAGGATTTCATTTGGTAAGCAGTGATTGATTATTGATATCGGTCATCGATTATCGCATAATGCGACCTTTTTCGCTTATCCCCCTACATTTGCAATTTGCAATTTATACTATCGCTCTTCGGTTATAAGACAATTATAAGACTATTGTCACAAAAAATGATTTTCTTCACGTTTTTTAAACATTATTTCATCCTTATTTATCTTTCAATCTGTTTTTTCAGATTTAGTGCAATTTTTTATGGATAATTGCTCTTAAACCTTATCTAAATTTCTTAAAGTGCATTTTAAAATTTGTGATTCATATAAATTTTGGTAATAGCTCTAAATCATTTCTATTACTGTTGGAAGGAACAACATTGTCAAATGGTTGCTTAGTTGCTTAGTTTTGAGAGTTAAGGATTCAGACCCACCCACCCTTCTCCAGCTTGAGTAAGTCTATTATTAAAGAACCCGGAAAGTACTGGCGATCCAGTTGTATTTATGTTGTCTCGTGAATCGCTTAGCCAATGAAGAGCTGAAGTGACTTAATTAATTTTAGCCGCTTACTTCACTTATCTATGACCTTAAAAGAATCTGGTAGCCTTATGACAATTTCTTCTATAGCTTTTCGCCTTTTTTTGGCCAGAGCTGTACTAGCTTGTGAGATGGGACAGTTACAACGTTTATGTATTGTTTGTGTCCTATTGAAGTTATACTGGTTCGTGGTGTAGCACTTCAAAGATATAGATCGTGAATGTTGATTTTATTCGTTTAAGTTTTAAAAAATGCTTGAAAATAGCTCAAAAAAGATTTTAGTTTTAAAAGTGTTTTATTAGAGAAAATGGTTGATAATTTGGCTCTTTTACTAAAAATTATTTTTGGATTTTCATTTATTTTTCGTCTCATTTGTCACTGTTTTCATATTTTCTTGAAAAACAATTATACATTTTTCTTACAGAATTATAATTTCATATCATTAAATTAAACGATTTTGTTTCAATGTAGTAAACAATGTCTCCTCGATTTGAGAGGAAAAATATTAAACGAATCGAACTAACCGATTTTCCGAATCCCATTTTATCTCTTATCTTTCAGAGGTTATTTCATTTTCTTTTTTAAATACAACAATCCAATTTATTTTTTTATTTTCTTTATAAACGTTTTTGGAATTGATTAAGGAAAATTTCAATAATAGCTTAACTTTCTATGGTTTTCTATGGTTTTAATAAAATTAATAAAATTGTATTCCGTTTTTCCGTTTTGCAATAAGGAATATCTAAGCTATGGTTCGGTCAGCTCATTTGATAGGACGAGATCCTTTCGTTAGATAATCACTTGTGAAATCAAAAGATTAGCGCTTCGCGATTTCCAAATATATGGTTGCCGAGTCACGTCGTAAAATATATTCTTCTGGATTAAACATGATGTGATCTCGATTAACATTTTTCAGCTTTATTTATATCCACTTTTTAAAAAGCAGTATTCTTTATTTCTTTCCTTTCATGAACCTGTAGATTTCCATTTCAATTTTTTAAACATTTTTTACGATGGAAAATTGAATGAAGATTTAATATTTTAAAATTTTCGATTTCTACAATATCTTAGCGACAAATGGTTTCTTTATTTATTTAAAAATTTTTTTTTATTGAAACACATTTATTCGTTTTATTAGAGAAAATGGTTGATAATTTGGCTCTTTTACTAAAAATTATTTTTGGATTTTCATTTATTTTTCGTCGCATTTGTCACTGTTTTCATATTTTCTTGAAAAACAATTATACATTTTTCTTACAGAATTATAATTTCATATCATTAAATTAAACGATTTTGTTTCAATGTAGTAAACAATGTCTCCTCGATTTGAGAGGAAAAATATTAAACGAATCGAACTAACCGATTTTCCGAATCCCATTTTATCTCTTATCTTTCAGAGGTTATTTCATTTTCTTTTTTAAATACAACAATCCAATTTATTTTTTATTTTCTTTATAAACGTTTTTGGAATTGATTAAGGAAAATTTCAATAATAGAAATTTCAATATAAATTGGAGAAGGATTTTTTTTTAAAGCTTTCAAAGAGTATGATATAATTGATGGAGTTGCGGAATGTCCTCATGTTCCTTAAATTGTCACTGGGTGTTGTGCTACTAATAGAATGATTTGCAGATGTTATCCGGTTACTCTACACCGTTGTAGACTGGTTTGTAAAAAATGGCGTAAAATAATTGACGAACTTGATGAAGGATATCTTGAGCCATTCCGTTCAGCTGGGCATCTACGTTTGTATGTTTGCGATAGAAGGAGGTTTCTTCATTTTTTTGTGAATCGCTATGAACCTTCCAAAGTGTTTTATTTTCGTCTTTTATCAAGTCTGTTAAAAATTTTACTAGTAATTTTATCATTTTAAATACGGTTTGGCGTAATTTTAGGGCTATTTTGGAAAAATTTCTGGAACATCAACCTTTATCATGCAGTGTTCGTGATCTTACGTCGTTTCGTAAGACTGCTTATGTGAAAGATTGTTTGGCGCAAGTAAATGAAGACATTTCGTGGGACTACCAGTTTGATCTCACTAGTTGGTCTCAAAAATACGAAATAATAGAGGTCGATACTTTTTTTGTATTTTACAGTGGTTACATTTGACAAGAATTTGATTTCGCTTACAGTTTATGGATAATGTTTGATAATATATCAATTCATTAAGGTTTGTCTGCAAAATTTCGGTTCATTTCTTGAGCGTGATCCTAAAGCAGCACAATCTTCATTAAGTGAGCTTTCTCCAGGTGGAGAAGCAACAAAACTTGGTTTAACCCAACCACTCGCGGTATATTCTTTTGACATCATAATTTTAGATAATCCAATTTTTTAACCAAATGGAATTTTTTAAAATGCTTGTTGAATCGTTTTTCAATAAAATCTTTATTTTTAAGACAGTACCATTCATTAATGCTGCGGTTAAAAACGAGAAAAAATTGGCTTCTTCTGCTCATACACCTTCAATGGAGAAGGCTTATAATCCATCAGAGGAACCTTATAATTTATTACCGTCAACTCGGCGATTGAAAGCAGCATCAATATCACCTGTAATCTATGAATATGACGAAGTGATTTTTTTGATTTTATATTCTCAAAAAGCCAATTTTGATATCAAAGGAAAGAAATAAATAGAATTTTCCCATTTTCTGTCTATTTCCATCGTTTAATGATTGGATTTCATAGTCTTAATATTAATTTTAATTATTTTTAGAAGTAAAAGAGCAAATTAGTAGATTAAGTAGTGAAGCATAAATTTATTTTTGCATTACAACATATTTCACACATAAATCAGGAGTTCGCTATATTTGAAATGGCTTGAGTGATAACGAATACATAGTTTCATAAATCACATGTGGATATAAGTTTTTCTGTTTTCAATAAGGAATTGAACCTTGAAGACATTGGTTGAGATCAACACGCAGCTGCATCACACATCAACCCTAATTTTAATATCATAACCCTAAAAATTTCTGTTTATCGATGAATGAATATATACCAACGCATACAAACACTTCCTTTTATCAGCATATTTTCAGTCCATGTCGGAAATATTTACTCGACTTTCATCGGGTCGCTTTGAACGTCTTGCTGATAAGCTACGTGCTATTCAGCCACTTCATATTGTTTTTAATGATCTCTCATCATATGAAAGGCGACCAACAATGCTACTGTTTTGGTTCCTCAAGCAGTTCGTTCCACTTTATTATTTTATTTGAAATTTTTGGAGTTTTTTCTCATCCCCATCTAATCTGATTATATTGAATCATTTTCAATTCATGGTTTTCAACTTTTTTAGTAATTTCTTTGATTTTACAATTGTAAATTAATTACAAATAATAATTTCAGACTAACAAATGTTCGTAAACTAACATTCAACTGTGTTCGAGGTGATCAAAAAGTGGAAATAGATCGTATATTATCTGTGATTGGACTTGATGAAATTAACATCATTCAGCCGGTTTATCAATTTTTTACACAAAATTTGTTTAGATAAATTTAATACATGCTCTTTCTCGGCTGATGTTCAGTCTTCACCCACACTTTATTAGTCAGCTAATTGATATTAAAGAAAGATATTAAAGAAGTATATGCGTGACTTTGGTCGGATTTCAGCAGGAGGACGCTTGCTTAATCGTTAACGGATCTTTACTGGACGCTTTCTTAGATGTTCCTTGTCAAAAACGCCGTCGATTTCGACTTCGTTTCACCGGACGTACAGAAATAAATGCGTCTTCGATAATAGATTTTTTGAATGTAAGAGCTGTTCCATTCTATTAAAAATTTGCATGATTCCTATTTTGATAAGAAATTGGTTTTACATCTCTTTAATTCCTAACAGCTCATAAAAATTTAGATTTTAGAATAGAAATTTCAGAAGTGGCAAAATCATAAAGATGTGATAGCGTTTCACACAATTCTTATTGATGCGATGAATGTATTGCCTGAAGAATTTGTTTTGACTTGTTTATATGGTGAAAAAGCGAATACAATTAAGGATGAGGTAAAAATTCATGTTTGTTGTAGGCAACCAACCGGTGAAGGTTGATTTGACTGAGTTTTTTAACTCTATTCAATAAATGATAAAAATTATTGATACATATTAATATTTATATAATTAAGTATAATTTCGCTGTTTAGAATAATCATTCAAAAAGAAATCGTTAAATTTTGAATTTATAAGGTAAATTATCTTCTATGTTAGATTTTTTTTCAGCGACGTAGGAACCAAATGAAACAAGATTACGATTTGTTAAGAAAGGTTCTTGTTTTTGAACATCGCAAGTCTCGTTGTAGTATAAAATATCGTTATGAAGATGGGTAAATTTTTTTCTATAAATTTCAGCTAAGATTCTGACTTATGAATATTTTTTCATGGAAATAATTGAAAGAATCGCAATGTAATAAACAAATTTATTGTAGATATCTGCTTTTCACCTTTTTTAATCCCAATGAAATACCACCGTGTCGTATCTCACATTCTGATAAACCAAAAGTACTGGCATTTCATTCACCGAAAAGCAATCACGAGAATTATGTGGAACAAAAATGTACTGTACGCAATCCAAACAGAAGTTATCAAGGAGAAAATTTTTTGTCGAGAATTTTCTCAGGACTTCTTCGTAGTAGTGCGTGAAAATCAATCTTTGTATATTGTAAAGTTATCCATATCGAGTGGAGAGCTTCCTTCCTGTAAATAAGATGGTTATGATTCTGAATCCATCCTAGTTGCATTTTCAATATTATTGTATATAATTATATAATTTAAATGATAATTTGCATTCTTCGTAACACTTTGTAATTTTAGTTTTTTAGTTTTGCAATATGACCGCAATTTTTCGAATTCTTTTTCCTGCTAATTATAAGCCATTTTGCGACATTTTATCACAGATTTTTTGCCATTTTTTCTGTTTATATGAACTGATTTCAATTTTTAGAAATGAATTCATTTAAAATTTTCATTTCAACTGAAACCAATGAAAAATAGTTATTAGCTTATTTCATTCTTTTCTTGTGCGTTTTTATATGCTTCACAATGCACATTTATTTGTACATTAATGCCTTAGATTGATAACGGGTCATAATGCATCAATTTCTTTGTCAGTTGTTTCCCTGTATGTCGATTTTATATATTCCCTGTATTTTCAGCGAGTTTTAATACTTTGAATCTTTTCACGAATTATCGTTTGTTCTTTCGCCCAGAATTTAGCTGCTTTATTTTATAGTATGTGCCTTCGTTTTTTATTTTTTTGCATCACGCAATTTTGAATTTGATAAGTATTACTGATAATAATTCTAATCTTTTGAAAGGCATTACTGGGAGATCTCATTTCAGTTTATTCAAGTTACGTTAGCATTTTACGGCTTTGTGCGCTATTTTCCTTGAGGCTAATATATGTAGACTTTTTGAATTAATTTATTATTAATTTACTGTTATTTTCAAATTATTCTATTGCGCTGTGCAGCAATCGAGCTGAAGCGTGCGCTTTTAATTTATCTGTATATATTTAACTTTTCCTAATTTACCTATAAATGCGCAATTAGATCAGTGTTTATACTTATACTTTTGCATGAACTAGAAGTCAAGGACCTATGTTTATATTGATATTTTTTAATTTTTGAACATTTTATGTTTTTGGGGTATTCTGTTTTCTTTTTTTAGTTCAGATGCACCGTTCGAGATTTTCAATAAATGGTTGTCCATAGTTTTATTGCTACTTTGAAATGATGCACTTCATAAAATAAATATATTAGTTGAATTAAAATAAATTTATTAACCTCCCTTAAACCAAAATCTAGTAAAATGAGTCGGATGTAGCGATGTGGTCAATCTTTGGACCTAGGTCAGTTTTTGTATGTAGTTGTATATTTTCACTGCAGCAAAAATGAACATGGTTGGTTCCGTCTCAATAAAAAACTATTCAATGAATTGCTGGACTGCACAGAAAAAAATTATTGTATCCGATTCATTTGGAAAATTTCTAAAAATTCGCATATTTAAAACATATGGTAAAATTATTGAATTATAAGCAAATCGAATTTTTTCCATGCTTTTTTTGTATTAGATTTTATTTTACTCCACATTTTTTGAACTTATTCATGGAAAACTAAGTATAAGGACTGGTCTAACCTGTTTAATTTATTCCGTGTGAAACAATCTTTTTTGAAATGAATAAAAATTTAAAGAATTTGTCATAACTTAGATCGTTTTTTAAAATATAGTGTTGGGCATGAAATGTGCCGAAAAAAGAAATTTACTGTAAAAATAAGCTTTTTGGAAAAATTTTCTGGAGTGTCATTTGGTACTATCTTCTATTTAAAAAATAATTGTTTTTGCGGATTTTTGAAAAGTATTTCTTTAGAACAGTTCGCGGAATCTATAAAGTCTATAAAAATCTAGTTAGAGAGTTAAGGAAATTAAGATCCATATAAAATTTCAGTTAATCTTAGAAAATATCACTGAGACTTCTTCGCATTATTTACAGTATTAACTGCTTATGCGAGTGATGGAATTCTAAAAAAATTACCTTCATAAGTGATGTTGGCTAATTAATAATGCAATTTATAAATGCTAAATGCATAAAATATGTAAGTTTCAATTAAAACTTTTATCATAGTTGGTACTCGCTTTATTATCCACAAAACTGGCAACTCATCAATACGCTCGATAAATAAAATGCCGCCGATTCGCCCGATTTTTTATTCGACAATTTTTTTTGATACTTTGCTTATTTTTTCTTATTTTTTCTCAAGAGTAGGTTTTCCCCTAAACCTACTCTTGCATTGTTCAATAATAACGATTGTACTTGCGAGAGTAAGAAAGTAGCATAACTGAAATTGATGCTGCACTGATCTTCAAACTGTCTCCAAATATTATAGCATTAGTGAAACTTAGAGTAGCCAAAAGGCTTGATATTCCTAAAATATTTCCTTTAGAAAAACTGTGAAAAAGATGGATATGAATTTGCTACGGAAATTCCAAGAAATTATCTTTAAAAAAATTAAGCATCTATCCTCAGACCAATGTTTAAATTACCAATTCCTTGATATTTCCTCCAATGTGAATATAATATAACCTGGCATGAAAGAGAAAGTACCTTTAAACAACCCAGCAATTCCTTCATTTTTGATGATAGAACGAAAACAGTGGATGGTTCCGGTGTATTGACCTGGTGCTTGAGTTTGAAGCTGCACTTTCACAGTATCTAATGGATGACCGGCTAAAACGCCAGCTATACCTGAAGATGGAATACTTCTCTATCTTTTTGGCTACATCGCTTGATTATCTCTAATGACTTTTTAAATAGTTTTCTGCAAGTTGTTATTATTATGGCTGTCGCTTTCACCTTCAAAGCCCTATATTTACTGCATACTGATTTTTTTGTTTTCTCCTTATTCATTGTTTTATTACTACTATTTTACTGCTCCTTATTGTTATTATTGTAAAAACTTTGGATTAAACGATCGATTAAATGGCAAAGGCATTATATATTTATATATATATTTTACAAGCTCTTATCAGTAAGCCATGGCCTAAGTGATAAAACCATTTGGAATGTACATCATACAATTTTTTAAATCAACCATTTGAATAAATTCAAAATTATTTCTTCATCATCGCTTATATTGAAATTATATTTAAGCTATCTTAGTCCTTGTAAATTACATGAAAATAAGAAAAAGTTGGTGAAAGTTAAATTGTAACATTTTTTCAAATCGGAGAGCCAGTACTAAGGTTCCATTGCCCACAGGAGTAAAACTATCTAAAAATCCGGGTGATTTTAGCGACTTACCTGTACTTCTATCGCCAAGGTACTCCCCGGCATATTTGTCCAGTGCGACAAGCCAGCGGAGCGAGTGGAACCAATAATGGTGAGGATTCTTTAAAAAAAATTTTAACATATATACCTCCAACACATCCGGCAAAAAAATATCATTGAGAAAGGTTTATTAAAGGTCTTTTTTTGAGAAAACTGTGATAACTGGTAGCTTATAACGATAAGTGCGGATAATCTGCAAGATTTCTGGAATGAATTCGAATGAATGACAATGACAATCTTTTCTGGGAAAGAACTGGTCAAATTCAATTGAAGTTAAATGTGAATACTTTGAAAAAAATGGCAGAAAGAGTGAAATCAATTTTGAAAAACTTAAACTGGCTGAAAAGATACGATATGTTGTAAGGTCGCATTCCAAATACCATATCATTCCAGATCTTAATTGGACTTCTTCAGCTACATTCACTGCAAGGTTTGCCGTTTGGTGAGTTTTAATGCCAATTTCGGTGGCCGCAATTAGCAGCGAAGAAAGTTACATGACCGCCGTAGTACCGAACGATTGACGCAACCATGAGTTTTTATGAACAAATTACTGCTTAAGGTACTGTTTGTGAACGAGGAAGCGACATTTAAGAGCATCGAACAAGATATATAAATTGCTGAGGAAGACGCCAAAGAAATGCATTGCTACTGGACAAATGTCGATCCAACAGTTTCCTTGCTCGCTTAGAAATGTGAATCAAGCTGAACATAAAACTGAATCGCACGAAGAAGAAATTCGTCGACGAGAAATTTTAAATTTGAAAGACCAGCCAACTTTGTTGTTGCAATAACAATTTGTTGCATAGAATTTTTTTTACTTATTAGTATTGAATTTCGTAGACAGACGAGTACCGGCAACTCCTAATCGAGTGGTACCAGTTCGGGTTCTGACGCCTCGAACAACTGTGTTTCACTAAAAGAAGAATATCAGATTTTTCTAGTCCATTTTCCTGTTACCTATTTTACAAATAGAAACGACATTTTTGCAAACAGAGAGCTTCTATCCATCATTTTAATCAAATCAAAATTTTCTAATTGGCTGTTTTCGATAATTGAGAAAGAGATATGCTGAAATATTAACTAAATCGGGTAATATTTGTGACCCAACTGCATTTCTATTGCTAACTGTCTACTCCTTGGCAAGATTTTCTGATCCGATAAGCCAGTGGAATGAGCCTATGCAGCAATGACTTATAGAAAAAATTTTAGCTAAATGACCAGCATGAAAAATCATGGTTTTAGATTTATTCATTTTGCTTGATAATATTTTTCTTTGAATTGGAAATTTGAAAAATAACCGATAAAGATAATCAATTTCAGCATAATAATTTTGAAACATTACGATGAATTAGTTTTCACACAATCGGCATTTTTTTTGTCAGGTTTTCGTAATTGTCTAACTGATTGGCCAGTCATCTCATAGTTCCAAATATATCTAAAGAAGCCCACTCAAGATAGGTTTGTTTTCGAACTGTAGCATAATCCCCATTATTTCCAACACACTTGTTATATTTGCTCTTTCACATCATCCAACACTTGGTGCATTTCTGCTATCCTTCGTCTTCTTTTTTAATCTTTATTTGCAGCTGGGGATGCTTTGTTGAGACTGGCAGGATGTTGCAGGAGTATAATGGCGGTAAAACAGTTCGATAACAGTTTGCTTTTCTCATTTTCATATGCATCGGCCTTCCCTTCACACTGTTGTGAATCCGCTACTGTCCAGTTCTCGTGCAGTCGTTTGGTATTTTCGCTTTGTCTATTCTTGGTCTTTTTATCATTTGTATCTAATAAACTTCAATGAGCGCGTCATAAAAATCGCGCTATTTCACTATATCGACATTTTTATTATCATTTTTCCAAAATCTGGGCTATGATCAGGAGAAAATTTCAAAGCATTGGTGGCGATATATGGATAAGCAGTGGTTTAGCTTTAGGATATTTCCACAATATTTAGCAAAGTTTGGATTGGATATAGCTATTTTTTTCGGACACACAAATAACACACGCAAATAACAATCCAAAATTACTAATTAGGTAGGAAAATTATTTTTTATTCATGACATCAAAAGACAATTAAGGACTAATGCAAAGATTTCTTGAGAGATTAGTAACATGACTTCTTTAACCATGAAAAGACTTAAAAAATAATTTCATCAAGATATAATTGATGCAACTGAATGTAACTGAAAATTTTGGATTAAATGAATTTACATCCAAGGGATCCATAAAATGTTTATCTGTGGATCTGTGGAGACGAATGCGAAGAATGACACTCCCTCCGAGGTTAAAAAAATAAATTATTATTTATAACAAAATATTATTATTAATAACAAAGTAAAATATTATTAATGATAAAAAAAATTCTTATATCATATAATTAAAAATGCTGCAAGTAATACTAATTGACCTGTTATTAGACAAATTATTCCTATTCCTTTTCTTAAAAATATGAATTATATATAGAAAATTCCGAATTTCAGAATTATATCTCTAGAGATTAAATATAATAAAGTGTTGGACATTATACAGAATTTATGGAATATCTGGTTCATAAAGCCAGTATAATAATCGCATTAAATCAGCGCAAACATCCATAAATGATCTAAGGAAGGAACATCAATTAGGACGTTTCACCTAAATGAAATAAAAAAAGGATGAATTAGATTATTAAGCAAGACGAAATATTATCGCAACGGGTACGGTATAATAAGGCTCGAGTCAATCCCAATGCTTGAGTCAATCATGCCTTATTACGGAAATCTAAAGATCTCTATCTTGCAGCGCTTTCTTTCATCTGACGAAATCTCTTTGAAATTGCTGTGAAACCAGTCTCAAAACGAAAGATCGGCTCTATCTGGCTACATATACGCGTCTAAATATACGCAATACGGCTATGAAACTTAACCAGAATGGATGACGTCGTCAGAAAATTATATTTTTGACCACTCTTGCTTAAGGTGCATCCTTCGCAATCTTTAAGTGGACAGAATCTCACATGATCGCGTCCACCCTCGGCCCTATATATAGGATCGTATTGGGATAGCGCAGTGGTTAAGGTGTGCGATTAATGTGGAATGTTCAAGAACAAATATTCGAATCTTCCATTTTTCCGTTTACAAGTTCAAATGCGGAACTACCATCAGCAGTTCTCAAGAATGACATTAAGTTATATGCTACGAGACCATATGAACCAGTAAGAGTACAGTTCAAAAAAACGAACGAGACATTGACTCCCTAACTCTAATCTACAGCGAGGAGATGTGATTTGGACTGAAGGGAGGTAGCAGAACGGTAACGAAGAGGAGGAGTAGTTAAAACTGATGGAGTGGACCTGGCATCAGGGCACGTAACAAACAGACTAAACACTTATAAATACCTTAATACCCTGTAGTTACATGAAGACAACGGTGAAGAGGTAAGAAATAAGACAAATCTTGAAGAGCCAGCTTTACTGACCGATGCAAATTATTCTCCAACTTTAAAAGACAATAAATAGTTTCATTTCAATTAGATTTTTTGAAGTTGTAAGTTGTGTAAGTTTTGAATTGAATTAATCCAAAAGATGAGAAGAGAAGAGATTTATCGATGAATTAGACGAATTTGAAAATACTGCTGTTTTTCTTCAAATCCGCTGAATACAAATGACAGAAGCGCAATTTTCCAAGAATTCAATGTTGGATCGTTAGTTAGTCTTTTAATTTTTTCGAAGCTGAAACATTGGACAAAACAATTATTATTCGGATTTTGTATATTCCATGAATTGCAAACATTTTCATAATATGCGCCATTAGTTTGATTAGCACTAAAAATTCAATAGTCGATCAAATTTTCAAAAACATTTCAAATTCAAGCGATTTGATGCTTCAAAGGATAATATTTTTTACAGATTACATATGGATCGATGGTTTTGAGATCAGCGCAATTGCAAAATCTTTCTAAGTGATTTTAAAAACGGCTCAATAGAAAAAATAGAAGCAAACAATAGCAAATAATAGATTGACAAAATGTTGCTTGCAGGAAAAGAGTGGTGTCCGATGCGAATCTTTCTGCGAAATAATGGAACTTTTACTACTTCGGCAAAATTCATTAATTCATTTCAAATTTCGATATTTCGATAGTGTACTTCATTTTGCATCGAAAAGCTGGTCTTCTTTTTGCAAAAAGAAAGCAAATACATGCAATGACCGTTTGTAAAACGTTATAAAGCGTTGGAGGCAGTCAAACACTGCCAAACGATGTCGGAAAATCAATCAAAAAGCATTAGTTGACCAATTTCCTAGAAAATTCCCTAGAAAGCTGTTTAATTATTTCAGTGTTATTCAAGTTTGAAAACGCCGGCATCGACACACTTCGCACAATTTACTTTTATTTATTATTATTATTATTAATGGCAAAAGCAATTTGCTTGCCATAATGACCACATTGAGGAGATTATTTCCCATGTAGTCACTTGAAATAACACACAAATTTAGAAAATTAAAAATTGAATAAGAGTAATTTCAAAATATTAGAATATTGCTGGAAAAGAAACACTTCTAAATTAAGTTCGCTTCATAACATTTAGTTCGGTAACTAACTTCAGCAATGTCAGCAATCTGACTTCACCTTCTTTAGTTTCTACAATTATTTCATAAAAAATCCTAGAAGAATTACAGTAATTTAAGTAATAATGGTAGTGAACAATCGTTATTTGGTGCGACTTTAATTCACATCCACAAAATTCTAAATCACTAAAGCATCTCGCCACATTTACAATAATCATTTGAAAAAGGAATTTGCGAGAAGAATTCCCAAAATTTATTGAAAAGTAAATAGTGCTGGGTACGTTAAAAAAAAGTTTTCAGTTATGCTACTTTCTTACTCTCGCAAGTACAATCGTTATTATTGAACAATGCAAGAGTAGGTTTAGGGGAAAACCTACTCTTGAGAAAAAATAAGAAAAAATAAGCAAAGTATCAAAAAAAATTGTCGAATAAAAAATCGGGCGAATCGGCGGCATTTTATTTATCGAGCGTATTGATGAGTTGCCAGTTTTGTGGATAATAAAGCGAGTACCAACTATGATAAAAGTTTTAATTGAAACTTACATATTTTGTGCATTTGGCATTTATAAATTGCATTATTAATTAGCCAACATCACTTATGAAGGTAATTATTAAAATAGTAAATTTATAGATAAATTTAAAGTAACCAATCTAAATGGCTGAATTCAACAGCCAACCGTTGCAAATTTTGGATTTTATGCAGTTTTCGAACTCGAAACAATGGACACGAATATTTTAAATTTTATTATTTCTCTTATCTTGAAACGAAAACATTTATTCGGTGCTTTTTTAAATTTCGTACAGCATTGTCAGAATTATTTTACTTTATTTATTTGTTCGAATGCTTCTATTTTAGGATATTTTTTTGGTTTTATTCGAATTTTCGTGATATGTTTTATTTTGTAAATGCAGAAGTAAAAAATTTTATTTGTTATGCAAGCCGTACTAACTGAGTTGGAAACGGTGAAAGACCTTAACAAAGAGGTTTTTTCATTTATTCTTTTTTTTGCCAGTTTCTTACTTACAATTATGCGATATAGGAGAGTACATCGGGGTCTGTCGGGGTTCCTTTGCCAGTAGATGCATATCTGATAGCCAGCATGTCTCTGCGAAATTGTAATTCTGTGACTGGCATGCTTTTGTTTTTAGGGAAAATTTCGGTTGCGTTTCTTATTTACAGTTCACTTGCTACTTATTTGGCTGTTGAAGCTAAAGTACTATAATTATTACAAAGGAATATTTCCCATTAATTTCATGTCTTTCTCGATGGAATTCAGTTACACACGACATTGTAGCAGTTAATGTCGCATTCATCTGCATTAATTAACTCTTCTCACCATTACTGGTTAGGCTGGTTGCGCGGACTAAGGATAAGACGTCTCCAAAACGCCATCGATAATAGTAATAGAAGCTATTCCTTTTTCCATCGTCTGAGTTCATATATCGCTTCTCCACCTATAGATTCAAAATCTTTCCTGGCTCTATCTGTCCAGGTCTTGATTGTCCCACCTCGCTTTTGACGCCATTCATCACAGGGCAAGCAATGTTATCACAAGGCGTTCGGCAAGTATCGAAATGAGCGTCAGTCCTTCTAGTGAACGCCAGAGAACGAGCTAATCAGCAAAGGCGACACTCTGCGATAACATTATTAAAACAGGTGGTATTTGAGCGAAAATGGATACAATCATGTGCAATTTTATCCGCTCGACGGATCCGTAAAATGTATCTTAGACATGAGTAATCAAAGGCTGATAGCTTCTTAATATCTTCCATTCTCACTGGCCATGTTTCGGAGCCATATGTGGACGCAGATTTTCGTCTTTATGGTGATTTCTCGATGGTTCCATAAAGATTTTATCAACCAAAAAAACACATTTCTTGCTGTCATTATCCGTTAAAGTTACAGTTACAGTTTCATCCTTTGCCTGGCCATTTGATATTAGAGTAGATCCAAGGTATTAATGAATTGATAAAAGTAGGCATTTTATCAGCGTCTTGTATATAAGACGAAAACACCTTCATTTTATTTACAATGATTTTGAGTACAATTCTCGCTATAATTCACGACACATTATTTAACATCATTTGCATTTCATTATAAGATCTGATTCCAGCTCGTTTAGGATGCATATCTCGTGTGCCATGAACCTATTTAGCAGAAAGGAAGCGAAAATTTTTCCGGAGATGTCTGGTAGGCTGATTCCTCGGTAATTGTCGCAATGCGTCCTGTTACCTTTCTTAAGAATTGGAAGCAGAATTGCTTTGCTGCAGTCTTCTGGTATTATTTCCTTTTGTCATACCAGAGAATACATTTGTTGAGGGTGAGTTGTGAACGATGATGGACAACATTTAAAGAGTTCGACCCGAAGATCATCTCCGGAGTTTTGTTGGCCTTGAACTTATGGATTACAGAGATTATTTCCTTTTCTGTTGACGATTCACAATTGCAAGGCTCGATGGGCGAATCAGTTATATCCAGGATAGCAGATGGTGCATCATGGTTAAGTTTGGCCTCAAAAAATTCTTTCCATCTTATGAGGCGATCCTTAATAGCCTTAACAGGCGCCCCATTAATATCTAGTATCATTTCACTGACTCTTTCTCGAGTTATAATTATTTTATGAAAAAGGCGGAATAGTTATCGCCTAATCCCGTCTCCATTCTCAAGGCGATGTTCCAGTAGTGATTTCTGCCCCGCCGTGCTGTTGTAATTGCAATTCTTCGAAGCATCCGACAATCAAGATCTCCTGATATTCGAGTTTTGGCAGCTTTTTCAGACAGTTGGACAGTTGCTTCCGACACCCAAATAGCGTATTTCCTATTAGTATACCCAAGTGGCTGACTTTGTAAGCGTGTCTTTAGTTGGGGCCAGTATTCATTTAGAGGCCGTTTTAGAGACTGATGTCACTGATGTTCATTTCACTGAGGTTTTGCCATAATACGGTTTGAAATGCACTTATTGTTCTCTGATCTTTTAATTTGAGATAGTTGAAAAATCTGGGGATACGTTATTTCTTACGACTTGACAGTTTTATACGAATCTTGTCTCGAACCATAACGTGATCTATGACGGTTATCAGTTTCAGCGTCCCAATAGGAATGAGTACAGAACTCTTCCAGCGATGACTGACTAATATATAGTCAATCTGATTGGAATATTGGTCCGGAAAGTTCCACATGGCTAGATGTTTTCTCTGAAAGCATGTATTAGTAACAAAGAGTGTATGCTGTTCGGTAAAACGAAGAAGGTATTCTCCATTGGGACACTGGACCCCGATGCCATATTTGTCAATTACCGAATTCATCGTAACGGCATCATGATCTACGCGCGCATTCCAGTCTCCCCGGATTATGACAACGTCATCTCTCCTAGAGATGTTTTTAGCAATGAAGCTCCGCATAGAAGTTATCTTTATCGCTTTCATCTGCGCATAAATTTGGAGCATACAGATGACCGAAATATTGCAGAACTTTCCTTTGACGCTTAGGCCATTCAGTCATTTACCAGGTTCCATTCAGTCAGAGCAATCAAGCCTTTTCAGAATAATAGCTACACATTTCGCCCCGAGTTATCGAAGACACCACTGTATAGTAGCCAATATCTTTGCTCGGAACCAGGTTTAATAATTACTCGAGAGCCGGCATGAGGAAAACTGAACACAAACAAGCTTCATCTACGCGGTATTTAGGGTCACGACATCCATTAATGTTCTGACGTTCCAACTATAGTTTGCGCCTTGCCGCGCTTACAAAGTATTAGCGGATAGATTTTCGTCTCTTTGACGGGTTTTGAGTAATTATCTCGGTTCGAGAGCAAATTCTTGTGCCTTGAAATTGTTTTATCGTAATTATTACGCCCGGATCGTTTATTTATCGCATGTACCATCGGGTCAGAAGTATCATGCGCTCGGAAGACTCGGACGTTGCGCCAAAAAGACATAATCCTTTCACCATAGAGTCACTTGGGGATAGAGATGCAGATGGGTCCCCAGCAGCCACTCGGTTTTTGACACCATGATAGATTTACTCCTGTCAGAGGCAAAGAACAGAGATAATTAAATAAAAAAAAAGAGAAATTTATAGAATTTTAAAAAAAATTTTAAAAACTTATCTGATTCGGAGATTACGTAATAGTGATGGTATATTACGTAATAACAGTAAATAATAAATAAGATTAAAAAATAAGAATAATAAAGAAAAATAAGAATAATATAATTAAGTGATAAGCTAAGATATTGATTAATGAGTAAGGCACCTTTTTCGGCATATCCGTTCATAGAGTAAACACACATCGAGAGATGCGCGTTAATTAACTAGCTTAGATTAAGGAAGAATTAAGTTTAAATTTGGATCTAACCTAGCAGAACCGATCTTTTAACTTATTTTTGTCATTTTATCTATAAAAGTTTCAGTTGGCTTGGAAATTAGCGAAAGCAGAGAGTGAACTAGAATCTGCTAGAATTAAGTTAGAGATTCAAGAGAAAGCGAATAAGGCTGCTTTTGTAAGTAGAATTGCAGGTAAAATTTTTAAAATTTATTTTAAAATTTTATTTTATTCATTTGTGAAAGCGTTAGCAATTTCCTGCATTTTTTTGGAAAACATGTGTTGGGCATTTTGCTCATAGCGGCGCTCACTTATTGATGCTACGATGATGGTGAATATAAGCGCCCCTCTGAAAATGGAAGGAAATGAAGGAGTATGAAAGAGAAAAAGAGAGGAGCATTCCCTCTCAAACGTTGTTGATCTGGTAGCTTGCTAGTAATGACTTGTAATAAATAATTGTAGTTTTTTTTTAAAAGTAAACTTAGATTCAGAACTGCTGATAATGATTAATGTATGTAGTGTGTAACAGCGGATTTATTGTTTTTTTTCAAAATAAAATTTTTTTCAGATGCCGTAGTGACTTCAAAATTTCAGTCATTTAATAATAATTTTGAAACACATTTAGAGGTTAGTTCTTATCCAATATGTCTTGGGAAGTTTTTTTTTTTAAAAGTCCTCACCATTACTGGTTGAACTCGCTCCGCTGGCTTGTCGCATTAGACAGATGCCATGAAATCCCTTGGCGACGGAAATACAGGTAAGTCGTCAGCATCACTAGGTTTTTTGGACACCTTTATTTCTGCGGGGAATCGAACCCCAGCATCGGCGCTCCGAATTCAGCAACCCACTAAGCCATCCTATCCCTTTAAGATTAAAGTCACAATTTATATTACTTACTTGCGTCTTTATAAATTACATTTTTGGTTATAGTACTCATATATTTGGCGTTATTTTTTTGTTTTTTTTCGTTCTATCCTAATTTCGCTTTCATATTTTTTTTTATTCAGGATGGAAAGAATGAAGAATGGCACTTCGAAAAATACAAGGGTTTGGATGATCTCTTAAATGAGATTGAAGGGAATGGACCTGTTCCATTAAGTCCCAATACTATTCGAAAGAACTGTGATCGAATGATGGATCATGTCCGAGAAAATGGTTGTCAGTTCGACATTACAAACAATATGTTCGATTTGGCAGAGGTTTTACAAAAGATCTTGGTTTTATGACCATTCAACTTTCAATTCTTGTACAGATAATCAAGAATATTTATGTGAAATGCTTGGAAACATATATACAATAAAATGTAAAATTATTGGATAGCACTAGAGGCATTATTTTTTCTTGATATCATGGGTGAGGTAAATTGAATTAAATGAATGGGAGATTTCAAATATACAGCATTATACAAATATACACCAAATCGTTAAGAAAAAAGTCTTATTTTTTTGTCTGAAAAGGTGATATAATTAATCGTTTAGAGAAAGGCTTAGAGAATGCTCGCTTTTGCGTAATTTTTTAGATCAACATTTTAACTCTTTGACCTTTAGCTAAATTTTTTCTGCTTTGTATAGTATAGTTTTTAATTTTATATGATTATATGATTTTCGCCTTTAAAATAATTTTCTATAATCCATTTTGTAGTGTTTTCCGCTGAATAAAGTTTTTTTTTTAGAATCAACTGCTAAATACTAAATTAGGTTCAGTATGGAACGATTGCACTAGATCAGATTTCCGAGGACAAGAAAAAGAATTGAAGGTTTGGTTATATTTTAATGCTGCTTTGATTATAGTCGATTATGGGCTCATATGCTAATGCTTAATTTAATTTTTTAATTTTTTCTTAATTTCTTTTTTGCTATGAACTTTTAAAGGTGGATAGTAATGAAAAATTGTGGAATTATACTTTTTATAGGCTATTTAATTCATTTCTTTTACTTATGATTTTTGCTAATGAATAATTGTGTCAACAATTTGATTTTCAATTTGTGCTAATTAAAATATAAATAATCAGAGTAACTTATACCATCGCTTTATTTTAAAAAATGGGCTGTTACTTTATTTTTTACTTTCTTTATATTGTAGAATTCAAGCTTTGTTAATTTTTTTTAAATTTGAAATCAGTGTTGGTCCAGTAGGTGTTTCAGTGGTTTTTTTAGGTGATTAAATCAAAATTTATTTCTCAGTTCTTTTGGCTTAATAAATGTTTTGTAGTGCATGATGCACAAATATCCTGATAGACAGAGATTATCTGTAGAGCATATTGCAATTTTCAAGCCGTTCATTGCTTCTTCAATAAGTAGCCATTTGTGATATAATCGCCTTAATGAATATTGATTATGTGTTTTAAAAAAATATAAATAATGGTAAATTATCTGATAGATTTTTATATTTTAGAATTTAAAAATCATTGGTTAATTTAAACTTTAAAAAAATTCCGTATAGCGTCCAGCGCTCTACTTTTCGATTTGAGAAAGATTGCGATTCATTTTCTTTAATGGTTGTCTCTGGTATATTCATTATACATTAGCGAAACCTGTTCAGTAATGCGGCAAAGTTTGTTCCATGCTTGTTGTTGAATTTCATTAATGTTTGAAAAATGAAGGACTTGTATCAATAGGTAGGACAGATCTGAAAGTAAGATCAAAAAATTTAAAGGTATTCTAGCAGATTAGTTTGGTGCAAAAAAAGCTTTTTAAAATACATTACAAAAGATGGATTGTAATTTTTTTTTTTTCCGAGTGCTTAAATGTTTTATTGTTTAAGGTAATGTGCAATTATTTTAAATAAAATAGTAAAATCCTTATAAAATTCATGATATCTTTTTTTTATTGGTTCATTTATTTAATTTATGCAAATATTTAAACCTTCAGTCAAGTATTTTCGAAGAATGCTTGGACATATTTGTAAAATAAAACATTTCCGAGCGAAAAAATCTATTTTTTGGGGCAAATTTTTAAAACCGTTCGATTCTTCATAGCCATTTATTGTTATGTCTATAGTCTAAAAAATGTTTGTTTAGAGTAGTAGAATTTAATGTTTCCTTACACGATTACTCTAAGCCTCTTTTTAAAATATATCAAAATATATTAAAAATATATTAAATATATTAAAATATATCAAAAATTTGGCAATTGGGCAATTATGCAGCACGGCATGCAGCTGCCTGCAATAAATAACAGCAGTTAGTGGTTTCCTTAGAATTACCATTTGCGATTTTAATGCCATTTAAATACGAATTTGTTTTCAATTTTAGATTTTTAGATTCGTTATCAAATAAAGAATTTCTATTACTTCTATTATAGGATGTTTGGTCATTTCCATAATGTAATAATATAGTATATATGTTAATATAGTATATAATATAGTATATGTTAATAATATAGCATAACGTAATATTTTGAAATTTTGATTCTTATCACTATTAATTTCGAAGTAGTTAACTCATATAAACAAAACATCTTGCGCGATCTTCAAATAAAGCGTTTGGATTTGGGAATCACTTTCCTAAACCATTTCTTATTCATCAATTTGGTTTACATTGGTTCAACTCTAATAGATTTTGCACAAAGTTTAGATGGTTATCTTTTAAAGCATAAGCTCTTGCTTATTTCATTCATCAAAGTAAAAAGCCACCTTAATTAGAAACGTACAAAATTCATCGTAAACTCCATCCTGTTGCATATTTGTCTTTGAAATTGCTTCGTTCTGTATTGAAACAAAAATGTTTGAATTATTTTAGTTTTATGCGTTTAGAAAATTATATTTATCTGTTTAATTCCAAAAAATTGGTGAGCATTTCACATTCCTCTCTCCATCCCCTCGATCGCCTGTCATTTCCTTTTTATTGGTGTTGCAATTAAGAAAAAGGAAATATGTTGTAATTTGCAAGAGGAGATTTTTGAAATTTAGAGAAAATTTCTATTCTCAAATTTCTCTTTTATAGAATTTTTAAATAAAAGTATGAAATTGATTGAATCATTTGTGTTTGAATTTTGTTATTATCATTAACACGATTTGCAAAATATTTTGATCAAAAGTATACCGAAAAAATAACCTCATTTAGTTGTTCGTAAAGTATTTTGGCAAGTTCGGAATGATTATTATGGTTGATGTGATTCCATAAGTCAGAAATGAGTTGTAATTCCTTAACATTCAAACAGTTTTCTAAGTAATATGTTCGTTGCTTTGCTATTCCAGCACTAATTTTTTCTTTAATTTCGTTCATGAACTGAAATGAGCTTTTTTTTTAAGTAATTAAGGATTATATCCTCCGCAAAAATTAGTAAAATCAAGATTAATGCATTTATTATTTCCCACTCATTTCCATATATATTTGTCTTTATTTATTAATTAATTTTCGTTTTAAGAAAGTGAAATACAATTAAAAATAATAAGGCTTACTATTCTCCATGATTTTTCCAAATTTTTGTCGTTTAAATCGATTTTTAGTAATAATTGGCGTAACGTTGTGATAATAGCTTCTTGGAAGATCTATATAAAACTTTAAAAATTTATTTACAGAAATTTATTTAAGTTTGAAAACTCATGGACTCAAGTAATAAGAAAACAAGTGATTAGCGCTCGCCATTTCTAGTCAGATTGGCTTTGCTGGCTGGTAGTATAGTTAGAAGATTTTTGCCGAAGTGATGTAAATATAGATTGGTTGCCAGGACCTTCCAGGTATTGCTGGCGGTATACTGTCAGGGGGTATGAACCACTCCTTTGCCTTCAGCGATAATCTGAACCACAATCCACTCGATTGTCCACCTTTACCTCGTTACCAAATAGTGGATTTGTTATGAATAAAAATGCGCTGTCACCTTTTTTCGTTGAGAAAATTGGTTATTTGTAAAATAAATCGTAAACCATAAACCGTAAGATGTATTTCGTAGACATTGTAGAAAAAATGACGATTTCCGAGTTTTATTAAGAAATTTCGTAAACTGATTTCATCTTCTAGTTTATCCATAATCGTTGTTATAGCACATTGTATATTTGTGCAGTGATAGCTGAAATTTTTCTTTTCTAATTAGTGTTGATGGAATTATTTTAAAACAAAATTAATTATGGCATTAAATTAAAGTCTTTTTACTGGAAATGAGCATCGTTCTTTAAAATTTTCCTCCAGTTTTCCTGCTTTAAATTGATGCGACGTCCAAAATGAAAGATGTTTCTAATATTCGCATAATTTTCGAAAATATATGTAAGAGTTTCTTCGATTAAGCTATGCTGAAATAAGTGATTTTAGGCTGAAAAGAAAGAAACTGTGAATAAACAAAAAGAAAATTGGTAAAATTAGCGAAATCTTTTTTTTTACTGTTAGGGCACTAGCTAATTTCGCTTTTGTGGCCACACTTCTTCTTCATTAAAGGATTTTTTAGAATCACGGCCAGCCAATGGAGTGGTTATTTTTTAAAGAAAAATGGAATCGTAGTCAGAACGGATTTCAGGCCATCCTTTTAATTTTTTTTAAGCTGGAGCTATGCTCATGAATTCGAAAAGTTTACTCGGAAAGTAGCTGTTTACTATCCTTTATTTTTATTTAGCAGTATTTGATAATACTTACCTGTAAGTTCAATTTATATAACTGAATCCAGTGGCAACGAACGATTTGCAAATCATTCGTTTCACTTATATCGAAATTCATTTGCTCAATTTTCATACTATTTTGATTCTTGCTAACTTTTTGATCGATCTTATCACTGTCATATTTTATCGATGATTTTTTGTTAAGTTCGGCCATTTTTCCTTTTTGAAAAGGGTGAAATATTTTAGGAATGGCATTTGAGCGAGAAATATTATTACGGGTGTGATCGTTATTTTAATATATTTTATTTAAATAACAATCCGGCATTATTTTGAATTTTTAGGTGGCAGGATATTGATTGGGATTATCATACTATCATTAAAATATTCTGGGAACACAATTTGCCTGTACTTCCATCGCCAAGTGATTCCTTGGTAACAATTTCTAATCGTATTAATAGTTAGGAGTCTAATCATAAATCAGACCTAATCAGAAATGGTGAGCGATCACCGCTTAATTACTATCCTGAATTTAATTTAATTGAAATTTAATTGTAGACATTTTTTCTGATTTTTTTTATTTTTTTTATTGGAGCAAATATTTTTCTAGGTTTTCTATGATAAGCTATTTATACTGAAACAGCATGTTAAAAATAAAGCGAAATAAATTGTAATTATATAGAATTGAGGAAAGGACTGAAAAAATGAAATATGAGACAGAAATATTGATATAATATAGGACGTTACGAAGCACCTATCCAATCCCAGCAGATGCATCGTTTCAGTAATTTCTGACATTGATTTTTCCAAAGTGAATCGTAGTCTCAATATGAAATGGAATGATGACTAACAAAATGCATTATTAATCTAAGAAAAATTCATCGCAAGCACGAGTCGAGAATTTGGATTATCTGTTAGCAATCGACTATGAAACGTTTTCTTATAGAGACTTTAATTAAAAAAAGCAAAAAACTAAAAAGCAGCTAAAGTGAAGATTTGGTTGCAAAGGTGAAGATCATAAGGCCAATTTGGGTTATTTATCAAAAATTTTCATCGACATTTGATTTAAAGTAAATCGCATATGGATGGATTTATTGTCTTCAAGGTACTAATTGATGTTCATAAATTGTTTCTGCTTATTACGCATACATCATTGTCACGAGTTCAGTGGATTTTTCGCCAATATGTTTTATGAATTGATTTTTTCAGATATGCCATGTCTAAATGAAATAATGGGTTTGACTTTTCTGATTTTTTTTTGTGAATTTCCGATTAATTGGTTGAATTTTCGGTGATCTCCACAGTTTTTTTTATTTCCACTTTATTTAAAATGACAAAAAAAGATTAATTTGAAAATATCTCCTCAACCTTTGTTAATTGTAAGTTGTGAGTTGCGATATTTGTTGAAGAACTTTTCAACATAATTATCCGTTATTGTTAGCTGCGGAAAAACGAATGGTTATGCGATAATTCAGCTATTTTATTCAATAGATATTCGAGAAGAAAAACATTATGATAGTTTAAAATTGTTCAAAAAATTTTGAAAATTATTGAAAAGTTTGAATGTGGCTAAAATAGATAAAATATTTGACATCTTTTCGTCATTTTTTGTTAATTTATTTGTTTTTTTCTCACATTTTTATGTCGGCCATCACGATGGTTTTTTGTAAAATTTAAAGTTCAACGATTCTTTAGATAGAAAAATGCTTTTTCGACAGCTTGTTTGTTTGTTTCTGGTGCATTTTATTGCAGCATTCGCAAGGTATATTTACATAAGCATGTGAATAGATGTTGAATATATATAGGTGAATTGATGCAACAACTTAATGTTCTTATCATTTACGAATTGCTTATGCGATAAAAAGTGGATGTGAAGGTGAAAATCAGAGAATTGATTTTCAAGAAAAGATTTTGGAAAAAAATTTTAAATTTTTTGAAAAATTTTTTAATGATCATTAATGATTATTAATTTATTTTGTTCTAATTTATATTTTATTGATAAAAAATGTACTATATTTTCTTTTGAATTCAGATGACTTTTATTGGGAATGTTCTTATTTATAGCATTAACGTGTGTTAGCGGCAATGTTAATTCATTGCATTTTAAATAATCGTTTATTATTTCGCTAAGCAATGCCTTTAATCCATAAAAACAAAATCGATCCATCATAAAATTTTGATTCATCTTTAACTGGTTTTGATAAAAGTTTTTGGGAGTCCTTCGAAAGAGTTTCATGCTTTTTTTAGTATTTCTCATCTGTAATATTTTATGCTTTTTATCTGATTTCCTTTCTTTGCGCTTTTCCATTGTTTTTTTTGATAAATTTTTCTATATTCCAGAAAGAATTGTTTTTTCCGAGTCAAAAAAGAACGAAAAGACGATTTGATTTTTTATCCGGAAAAGTGGAATTAGATTTTTTGATAGGATGATGTTTTTCAATTTTTTCTACCAAATGGGAGGAAATCGAGAAAAATTATTGTAATTCGTGAAATTTTATAATAATTGTTAAGAAAAATTTTTATTAAGCGAATATTCCAAATCGAATTAGAGGAAAACAAATTTGATATGAATATAATAGTAAATAAATATTTCATAGTAAATCGATCGTTAGGGAATGGTTGATGGTTGTTGGTGATGATCACCATCATCATCGATAAGAGAATGATGGGATAAATAAAGAGAATGAATTATTCGACTGCTTCACTACTAATTTAATGTATTGAATATTTTGGTGTGCGACAGCGAAGAACTGGTTTTCATCGGTGTTTTTCTCTTTAAAAATTTTTCCAAATCGATTTTCTTCGGCTTTGAACGGAAATGTTTCTTTGTTAGAAAAAATATTTTTTACTATGATCTGCTAACAATAGAATTTTCGTTTATTAATAATTTTACATTCGAATTGGATTGGTTTGAAATTCTTATTGCCAAATTTCCTAGTGAAAAAAAGCAGTCATCCGGATTGTTAGTCGAAAATTTTGGAAATCATTAATTTAGAGTTTTTAATGTTATATTTGTTTAATTTTTGTAAATAATTTGCAGGAAGTTAATAGAAAAAATGGTTATTTTAAATGTTTCTCGTTATTTACTAAGAAATCAAGCAGAGCAAAGTTATAAACTCTTTCAATACTGAGTTGGAGATCTAATCAGAAAAATAATAAAATCATAGCAGCAAATAATAAATTTAATTATGGGAGTGGGTTGAACCTGCAATTTCAAAAAACTTTGTTGTCAAAATTTTTTATCAAAATTATCAAGGAACAAATGAAGCAAAAACGATATGATTAGATAAAATTAATTTCCAAGTATATTTTTTTGAGATTTTTATGATCATTATGGGAAAGATGAATCTGCAGTTTAGACAATATTTGGAGACAGTATTACAAAGTAACGATATTTATAAGGTATAAAAAATTAAGCAGAGAAGTCGATCCTTCTATCACCATGTGTTGGTAAAGATTTGTTGATTAAATGAAACGAATTGGCACGGTTAATTAGTTTATTCAGTGAAATTTGATAAGGGTTATCACCAATGCAAATAATCCTCAATTGAATAAATAATTGCTGAAATATTTTAAAAATGATATTTTTAATTGAAACTGTTGAAACAGGAAAGGTTTTAACGCTTTTAAAAAAAATAATTTTAAAAAATAATCGATTGCTTGTTTAATTTTAAAATTTTCTTAATCTAAATATACATGCATATAAGTTTTTATTGAACGAGTTACACTCATTTTTTTCATGAAGTTTTCGTTTTCCAAATTCTCGTTATCTTGTGTTTTTCTGTTTCGTTTCTTTGGCGTGATTTTAATATTCGAAATTGTATAAGAATGAAAAGTGAGTGATCTCTCGCTTTGGAATTCGATCAGCTCGCTTTAAACAGTTGAATTATTTGTAATAATGGATGAACTAAAATATATTCAGGTAAATTATTCTTATATAGTTGATTTTATTTCTATAGAATACTTTGATTTGGTAATTCGGGATGGGAAGTTTTTATAAATATAAGTTTTTATAACTGTGTTTGGACTATAAACGATTTATTTGAGCTGTAAATCGGGTTTTCTGAAAAGATTTCTCTGTAAACCATCTTTGGTGATTTGATTTATTTCATTAATTGCTTTCGAAAACTTATTGGTTTAGGTTATTAATAAAAATTCTTTATAAATAAAAAGTGGTAAAAAACGAATAAGACGATCCCTAAATTCATAAAATTCGGAGAATTTTTCGATGTTCACATGCTCATATCGTATATTTGATCTGTTCAGGTTATGCAAACAAATATTAACCATATCCATTTCCATACTTAAGCAGCCTTCTTCATCTCGTCCTCCTTTTTCTTCTTTACCTTATTCACTTTTTAACTTTTCATTCCTTTCTCATTTTGCCATATTTTTATGGTTATTTGATATATGATTTATCCGATTAATTAGAATTGGAAGATTTCAAAATGACTAAAAAATTTTATGATTTCGTTTCAAAAGAAAAAATGGATTTTATTTTCGAATTTAGCAATAAATATTTTTCAATCATTGCATATGGCAAAAGTTTTAATTTTCTAAATTTTAGCTACATGAGGTGGATGGAATCTTAATATGGAGTATCGGCTAGTGTAATTTTTTTTATAAACAGTGGATCGGAAAAATTATCCCAAAAATATTGACATAAAGTCCTTTCATTTTGAGGGCTTTATTTCTACCTACTCGAAAATTTAATTTACTGATGATAATTAAATTTTTAAATTTTCGTGAATTGTAGAAGGCACTTAAAGAACGAACATCTGAGTGTGAATCACTGAAGAAAAAGCTTGAAAAATTCGAACGTGACAAGTACGTAGTTCACTTTTTTTTGAAGAATTTTCTTCCAAAATGAACTAAAGGAATAAAGTTAAGAACCAAGATTAGTTAAGAAAATAAAAGTTTAAAGGTTGATTTTAAAAAATTTTATCAAAAAGTTGGTTTGAATCGGTTCAGCATTTTTATTATAAGCCAATAAAGATTGTAGTTTAATGTATTTGATTTGAGTTATTGTAAAATAGCGTGTGCATAAATTTATAGGCAACAATGGGAAAATCAAAAACGAGTACTGGAATCAAAGCAACCAATGGACGTGCAAATCCTCCAAAGTCAAAAGCGCGAATTAACTATGCAGCTGGATCGTGAGCAAGCTGAGAAGCAAGAGCTTTTTCTTCAGGTTTTCTTCAGATATTTGATGCTTCCATCAATCTTTACAAATACGTTAAAATGAAATTTTTTTGCATAATTTATCAATGAATTTATCGATTACAATTGTTGAATAGCGTGAGTATGACTTAAGGGTCTCTTAGAATGAAAATTGGTTGTGATTTCATAGATATTAGGAAAACAGTTAGAACATTTTCTTATTTAAATCACAGGAATGGACTGAAGCTGCAATTTTAGATGATTTTGTTGAATGTTGGAAAATTTAGAAAATTTTTGTTAGAGAATTAATAATAATAATTTTAGATAAATACTTTGATCGCGCAACTGGCTGAAATAAGTCGTGATAAGATGGAACAGAGCAGTGCTTCACTGGAAGCAGAAAATGAAGTTTTGAAAAACGAATTTCGCAATGTCCAGGTCTTTTACTGGATGTGTTTCATCATGAAAAAATCGAAATCGCAGATAGAAATTCTATTTGTTTTTTAAAAATAAGAAAGATATTTGTTTGTATATTGTACATAATTTCCTCCTATTAAATATTTGGAAATATTTCCAGGAAATTCAAACACGTCTAAATAATGATGTGCAAAATCTCCAAGAAGAATTACGATTGAAGAATACAGAAGTGGAAATAACACGAGATGAAGTGAAACGGTTGCAAATACTTTTAGACTCGGAAAGGATGCGTTTTGAAGAAACAGTAGACGGGCTCGAACGTGATCTTCAGCTTAAAGCAGCTGCATTGCAAAATGCTATGCTTGCGAAAAAAGTCTGCATTGAAATATTCCTTTTTTAACATTGAAAATTCATCATAAATTAATTAATGTCTTTTGCGTGGTACTGAGTTTTATTTGGAAATTTCGATTTTCAGAGTTATTTCAGGATGAAAAAGTTTTGGAAATTGAAATAAATCGATTAAAGACAGAAAATATTGAGATGCAAAAACAAATTGATGGTTTCCATGCAGATGGTTCAAAATTATTTGCAGCGGAAGCGCAAATGGTCTGGTTTATTTCACAGAATTATGATTTCGAAAAAAAGCATTTAGAAAATTTTAAGAAAATTGCGAAAATAAATCTATAAATGGTTTAATGCATTTCTCAGAGAAACATTCTAAGGTATGTTGAAGGGAATTTAATAATATTTTTAATAAATCTTTTGTGAGTCGAAAAAATTATAGAAAAAGTTAAAAGAGGAATTTGACAACTCGAAAAGAATTTGGGAAAGAAGAGAGAAAGAGTTAGTTGTTATGGAAGATGAAGTTAGTTTTTATTTCATGCCTTTCAAAAAAATGTTTTATATATTTCTTTTGATCTGGGAATAAATGCATAATCCATTCGGCAAAATTTTTCGCTGAACGGAATTGTATTTTAATTTCCTTTTTTTTTCACTTTCAGATTGATGCGAAAGAAACTGAAATGCTTGAAAAAAACAAGAGAATCGGTGATTTGGAACAAAAAGTTGTCATCTTAGCGGAGGAAATATCTGAACTGGAGAAAATTATCGCTAATCATAGATTAAATTCGGTTCGTGGATATTTATCATTATAAGGAGTATCTTTCAGTAAACAAAATCGTTATGAAAATTTTTTGTGTTTATTTTTCATTGATTTTCTTTAATTTTCTTGAGAAGTATTTGCTTGTAACTGTTCTGAACTTAAATTATTTCAGGAAAAATTATCACAAGATCTACGAGATCTCAGAAGAACATTGGAGGAAAAGGAAAATGAAATTAATAAGCTTAAATCAGCATTAGTAGACTCGCAATCAGATCGCGCAGAAAATGAAATAAGGTAAAATTGCTTTTTGAATCACAAGTACAGTACTTTTATATTATAGAAGAAAATCGCTGCAAAAAAGTTTTCAGACGCGACCAGTATACACCAGTCCATCAGAAGGACGGTGAAGAGGAGGTTGATTCGCTTCAAGAATCATATAACAGAAGTTTATTCGAAGCTCAAGAAAAATTAAAAATTATTGAAGCAAAAATTAAGACGAAAGAGGAGGTTGAATTGGTAAGCACGATTGAATTCTTTTATGGATATATTATAGAATGTGATTTATGTCAGTCATTCCTATAATAGGAGAAATTTTTAGGAATTGAGATCATTATTACGAGAACAAAAAGATAAATTGGTGGCGAACGAGAAACAGATGCTAGTTGATCAAACTCAAATTAAAGATTTGAAAGCTCAAATTGCAAATATGAACACTTATGATATTCAAGAAGAGGTTATCTTTTCTTTCTTTGCTAAATCTAATTTATTCTAACGCATTTGCAAAAATTAAAACTAAAGTAAAGCAGAGCACCTTTTAACAGACGAGTTCCCAAATCATTAATCATTTATCACATGAATAATTTAATACTGATGAAAGAGATCTTAAAGAAAAGAGAAATGGATAATGGTTGGCTGATGATTCTTGCGTTATAATCCATATTTTATAAAATTTACGAGAAAAGAGTGATTATTGATTGAAATGTATTTAAATAATTTCTCCAGTAATAAATGCAAATATACAAAACATTAAATAAAAAGAAATCTAATCATTACCATCGATTTTTTTATGATGTGGTTTCTAATGATTGATTAAGATGCTCGTAATACATGTGTATGTAAAAAAATAATTCTTAGATAAAACAGCTGCAAAATGAATTGGAAATCTCCAGAAAAGAATGCAGCGATTTGAGAACTGCTTTAGAAAATATGGATGTAAGTGAACTTAGTAACTTAGTAACTTTAATATATAACTTAAATATATAACTTTAAGCATTTATGGGTAATTCTCTTTTTGTTTTTCAAATGAAGCTGTTTCGATCAAATATCAAATATTTTAGTTGCAAAATTTAGGACCCTGAGAGATGCAGTCATGATACGGTCAGAGGATTGGAAGAAGTTTTGAGTGAAATGGAAAAGAAGCTAAGAGCTTCTGAAAAAGAAAGAGAAGCTTCAAAGGAAAATCTGAAATCAGTGGAAAAGGATTGGTATTCTATTAATATATTTTTCATGCAGATTAGTTTATAATTAAGTAATGAAAAAGAAATTGCTTTAACAGAATTTAAATTGAAGCGTGTCTGAAAAAAGATTTTTATCTTATAATTTTAATTTTATTAGCGCAAAATTTAAAGCTAAAGGAGAACAAAAAATACAAGATGTTTATCGTTCAGCACAAAAAATGGCTCGATATCTGCCCTTTTTTAAATCAATAAGGAAAACAGATTTCGATGTAAATAGATTTTCAGCGCCGAATTTAAATCAATGTTAATGAGTACAACTAGAAAATTAGAAAGTACGAAGGAAGATGCAGCTAGACTGGAACAAGAAGTTCAACGGCTTCTTGTCGAAAATTCAAAACTCATGGAGAAAACGAGTTTAGAAGAAGAAATTATCACGCTTGCATCATCTTTGCAATCCAGTCGCACTGAATGCAAGTAAGTTTACACTATATTTCAGTGGTTCTCAAAATTTTTATTTTTATGTACTTTCATTCTTAATTGAGGACCTCCACAGACCAAAGAACCAAAGATCTTTAATGAGAGTTTTATCCAATGATTTTTGGCATTTGCGGCAAATTTCCAAATTATCTCACGAATATTTTTAAAACGAATAATATTTTCTTTCAAAGCAAAAATTTTTAAAAGATTTGGATTATATATATATATATATATATATACATATATGTATATACATTAAATATATTTTTCTAGATGAGGACAAGTAACTCCTCAAAATAAAAATATTATGAAAATAATTTTTTTGATATTATCTTATTGAAAACTAAAATACTGGCCTAGTTAGTTAGTTAGTTAGTTAGTTTTTTCCCTTAGTTAGTTTTTTATATGTTATTTATCTTTTTTCAGTTCGAAACAAGATGAAGTGATTGAGCTTCGGAATCAACTTTGTGAATTGCGTGAAGAAAATGATAAGCTTCTGGTAAATACGAATTCTGAACTTGAAAATCTGCAAAATAGTCTCGATCATGCTCAAGATGAATGCGAAAAGTGGAAGGAATTAACTAAAAAATGTCAAGTAATCGTTCTTTGCACTTACTATTTTTACTGCTAAAAAACTTTTTTTTCTTATGCTTATATTTTTTTAAAGGGACTGATTGAGATATGGGAATCATTATTTCTAAGATAAGTCATGTTTTGAAATAAATAGAAAGAACCTAAGGTAGCAATGCGTTCCCGTTTGTTTTTTTATTTCATCTTCATCTTATTATTTCTGGTTTGAATAACTCTATTCACTGTTAAGAGAAAGCTATAGGTCCCCTAGGTTAACCTATAGTTTTTGCCAAAAAAAATTTAGGGTAAATGTTTGAGCAGTAACTTGAATTCTTCATTACAAGATTTATTTTCTTTGGAGAGTATAGAGCCAATAATACGTGAACTCATGATCACTGCTGATATGATTGGAAGCATTTCCATATAATTCCTGTTTGCTTATTTCTTTAAGGATGAAAATGAATCTATTAAAGAAAAGAACACAGTACTGGCTAAAAAAATTTCTGAACTCACTAGCGATTTGCAAATAAAAGTTAGTGTAATTGAAAAATATTATCGTTTTTTTTGTTATTTTTGGAATATATTTTTGTAATGAAATATTTTTAACTGCCAAGAATGTTGTCATTGCTGCTTTTTTTCTCATAGTTTTATTTCCAACTTCGCGAATCATGAATATGAAGCGTTTTATTAAAATGTTGTTCATATTAAAAAAATATTGTTTTGTTTTACAGGATGGAGAACTTGCCGCGTTAAGAGGCCATATGGAAATCAAGCATCAGCAAACATTGCTAAATTTAAAGAACGATTTTCAGAGTAGAATTATGGATTTAACAGATGAAAATAGTCGATTACGAGCAGATTTAGAAACGAAATCAGAAAAGGTTTCATTTTAATTTTCTGTAGTTTCAAAATTTTTGCAAATGAAATTCTATTAAAGCCTGTAATTATATTCGTTGTTAGATTAATTTTACAAATTGTTAACTGGTAAATTTAGATTAATGAAATGAAAAAGGTTGACGAAGACAAAAGCGAGAAAAACGCCAAGAAATTGGAAGAGCTTGAAGCTGCTAAAGTAGATTTGATGAACCAAAATAGGATTTTATCAGATTATGTCCAGGCAGAAAAGGAAAAAACCAAAGCACTTAGTAAATTTTCTTGGTTTAATATATTTTTTTAAGTAAATGTCTCATTGCCACTCATTTTTCAAATATTGCAGTAAGTCCGAATTTAATAGATTAATGCGAAATATTTCCACAATTTTATGAATATTATGATTTTTATGAATATTTGCAAAGAAAAGTATTTTTTTAGGCAAAGAATTTGATTTTTTGATGTAATAATAGGAGCATCAAAATCAGAAAAACAGCTGAAACAATACTTTTTTTAAAGTTTTAGCATGAATTTCAGAAAGAATATGATATCGCCTGAAAGGTTCATTTTTATAAGGTGAAAAATTAAGTGAAGAATAATTAATTTAAAAGTTTAATCTAAATTTAATTTAATTGCAGGCAATGATATTGTAGCAAAAGATACTGAAATAGATATCTTAAATAGTGAGTTGGAAAAATCAAGGGTAGAACTCAAATTAGCCAATGCACAACAGAACGAATCAGATAAATTTCTTACCAAGGAGGAAGTGAGTGTTTTTTTTTTAACTTAAACTGCAATGGTTTGTTGGGGTTTTTAAGATTTCTTTTCTTTTTCTTTTTTTAGATCAGTGAATTGATGGCTGAAAATGCGCGATTGGCAGGTGAGCTTCTGAAGACGCAAAGTCATTCTGATAGGGAATCAGCT